GTACGTACGTACGTACGTGTGTATGTACGCATGTGTGCATGTACGCATGCCCACGACCTGACAAAATTGCAATATGCTCCTTTGCCATGGTGGCGCTGTAGACTACGATGGTAGGGTACATCATCGTACTTCCAAATTAATGCCACAGGAACATTAATGCTGCTAAAGCCTCCTTAGGACTCCAAGCCCCAGATTCCTCAACCCGTTCGATCCCAAAGCTCCAAACCCTCCGTCACCACAAAGTCTGACCTCCCAACCCTTGAGCCCTTACCCCTACAAGCCTAAGCCCGTAAAACCTCTGAATACCTATCCGGAGAACAGAAATCTAAATCAGTGAGATCCCAACCCTAAACCCGAAATCCTGAGCCCCTCTTTCCTCACCGACATGTAAGTTTGTCAAAGCAGGTAAAGCAGGTCCCGTATAATCCTTCATATCCTCCCGACAATCTCCTGGCAACCCCCGTTGCCACTGGGTCCCTCGAAGACCCGCGACCCGAGATGTTCACATAACTATCCCCTCTCAGGGAACTTAAGGTAATTTCCATGTTCTTTTCCATTCTCCCTGTACAAAATATTCTTTGATTCCCTACTATAACCCCAATATAAACCCCCATGCACTATAGTAGTTTCCATTTTCTTTCCGAGTATCCCTACAGAATCCCCATTGGAGGTACTATCCTGCTGAGCCCCAAGCGCTGCGCTTCAGCTCCAAAGGCCCGAATGCAGTGCCTCGCCAAAGGGGGTTGGGTTGCAGAGCTATGCTCTAAACACCTAGTATGCGCCCAAATCAGCCCCTATAATAATCCTCTATAAAATCCCCTTATAGCCACCATTCCAGAAGTTTAGACTCTAGCTCAAAGGCTCGGGGTTCAGGGGCGAAGTTTTTGGGTTCATGGCTAGCGGGTCCAGGAGTTGGAGGTATAGAGCTTGGGGTCCCTAAGCCCTAAACCCTAAGCCCTAGACCGCGTTGGGTTTCAGGTTTAGGGGATTGGGTTGGTGCTGGAGGTATAGGCTTTACAGGCTTCGGAACTCAGCGAGGTGTTTGGGTTTCAGAGTTTCGGGTTTATAAGGGATTTGCAAGCTAGTTGTAGGGTTCGCCTGGGACCTTTGCCCGGAGGTAATGGGTCGCAAAGCTTTACAGACCTAGACTTCGCAAGCGGAGTCAGGAATTTGCAAGGCATGACTTTTCTTCGATTGCCAAGTTCCGCGACGCAAAGTGGTGGAAGTGCTGGCAGGCAGGAGCAGTATTCGCACTCTGGAAAGTCGTTGCTTTTCACGCAATTATTTTGTTTAGGCAAGGGACTCGATCGTAGGGGCTGTGTGCTTTCCAAAACAAAGGGGCCTGCGGGCCGGCCCTCGTAATTGAGGATCTAAGCTAGATCGATGAAGTACACTTTGGGAGGTTCCATGCTTCAAATCCCCGAGAGAAACTGGGAAAAGTGAGCTCATGTTGGGTTTGTTCTTGAGCACTGAAAGGTCTGCATACGCTGGGTTGCTTAGAGCTTCATGCTTCAGAGCTGACTTCATGGTTTCTGCGTTCAGGGTTGAGGGTTGAAGGCTTTCTCAGGCGTTTTCAGGGCTTGACACGCGCCATCAGACATATCAGACTTTGAAGGACTGTAAGAGGGCGTCATAGGAATTAACCATATTGCTGCCGCTAGGGTGCAGCGGCAAGATTGGCTTCTGTAATGGTGCATCCGGCTTCATGTGGATGAGGCTTCTAGCCTTAAACGGTTCGGAGAGTAACAATGACATGATTTTGCTGAGTGGCCAACCTCTGTCAAAAAACATGGGCCGACTCCACGACCCTGCATGGTCAAGATTACAACTTTAAAGCCTGCCCAAACCTCTGGACTCTAAACCTACCAACCCAAACTTGCCAGGGCCCGGGCGAGTGAACGAAGCCGTTGTCGGGCTTCAAGTTTTGCTGCTGGTCCTAGGGTTAGACGTGTCTAGATCGGGAACATCTAGATCCGTGACAGTGCTTTCCAAAAATGTACATTTGAAACTTAGGGGCTGCGCTTCTTGAGATGCACGTGAACCACCCCTCATCACTGTTGAAGAGACCGGTCTTGTTAGGGTCCAGGCTTGATGGTTGAGAGCAGGCGTATCACTTTACTTGCGGCCCATTGTATGGTGGCTCAACATGGCAGATGCTCACCCTGCCCTCTGCATGAGAGAGCCCTCACCACGAAAGAAACCTCATCGTCGTCATCCTCATCAACATCAACGTCACACGTCTCAGCCACTACCATCTTACTACCGAAAAGTGTGCTAAACTTCTAGGGAAGTTTGCTGAGTGAGGCTATCGAGGTCGTGTAGGACTCGCAAACGAAATTCCTCAAGTGCCATCTAACCGGCCAGTCTTTGCAGCCTGACGGCTGGAACCGTAATCCCCAAGCCAAGAACAAACAGCCTAACCAAATCCAGGGTACCCATTTGAGGGCTACAACACTGTTCGACTTGGGAAACAGCTGAAGCATACCTTAAATCGGAAAGTGTCCAAATCCATCCTCCCCTCTTCTCTCATTCCTTCCAAGCCTGCATCTCAATTTGACCAGGTGTGCGACAAGTCTTTCTTCAATTCTTTGGAACTCACATGTTGCGAGTGAGACTTCTGTGGATGGCTGTCCTCAAACCGAAACAGCGAACCCTAACATCGTAGTTAATAACATAGGAGCCTTGACGGTAATCGCTTACTGGGTTGACATAGTTTTACTGCTTCTTAAACGTAATGAGAGAAAATGTCACAAACAAGAGTTGACAAGCCTTTGTTGAATGCTGAAGCCCCAAAATCCTAACCCTTAAACCTAGACCTTGTGAACCCAACGCAGCCGCTCCTCGTGGTTGCCTCGATTCATAAAGATACAGTCTGGGCCTTGCACATGCATGGTTTAGGGTGTAGGGCTTAGGGGCTACACCCTAAATCTGAAACCCTATTGGGAGCCGCTACCACTAGGATTTCAGATGTTCAGGTTCTTGGCGTGACTTTGTCTGAAAAGGAAATTCCGCTATAGTGCGATCTTCGTGGAACGGAGGGGGGGAGCAGGCCAAGAAAGGCAATAAATCGTAGTATTTGCCACTGCTGCGCTGGGGTTCACCGAGGAACAGTCATGCAAATTCCGCTTGATGCGATGCGACGAACACAATATTGAAGTTGATTGCCCCCACCTGGTAAAACTTGAGTCCAGTCAGTCAAAATGCAGCTTCTCCAATCAACTAATCCAAGCACGTCCGCGCTTGCAAATGCGATGGCATGTGGAGAGGCTGTAGAACATTCAGGTTGTGCCAAAATCATTGTTGTGCATGGAGCTTGCGGACATCTACAATCCGGAAACACTTGATGCTTCAGACAAAGATGTTCAGCCCTTGTTTGAAAGCTCTTGTACGAGGATTCCATCATGCTGCGGAATGCTGGGCACCTGTTTGAGCACTGACGATGTGGCACAGCCCGGGATCGAAGTCACTAGAGGCTACTAGCGCCCATGGCCTGTAGGGCCCTGTAGCGCGTGAAAAAAGGTCCCCTGTGACTGGATCAGAGTCAGGGCCGAACGCAAGCCGTTTTAGCTACAGTGCTTTACCGAGAACGGAATTAACTTTTGACGAATGATTTAAAGTTACACAGGCACGGTGCTTTCTAGAGGTGCCTGTCGGTTCATGAAGGTTTTACGCAATGGCAAGCTCAGCCTTGGGTGACCCTCCGTCGTGAGGCTCTGCACAAAATTCATGAAGCTTGTGCAGCTGCATGTCACTTGATGCCCAGAGTTTCGAGAGAGTACTCCTCACACTCGTCGATGTCCTTCTCCTCGTTCTTGGAGGTGTCGCTGTGGTCGTATTGACTCTTTGTGAACTTTACGACGACGATGCCCTTCTCTTGGTTAACGGTATACGTTCCCTGCTTCGTCGTGCCAAAACCACCCGCGCAACCAGTCGTGCAATCCACGTGCTGAGCTGTGAAGTCAGGTTTGAGGACCAACTTCACGTTACGATACTCCTCCTGGCCACATCTCTGATCCTTCACAGTGTAATGCTCTACATCTACACCAGCCATTGGGGCTGAGAGCTTCTTTGATTTGAGTCTTCGGCTAGCTTTGGCCTTGATACCAGCGACAGGAAAATGCAAACGTCTTGCACGTGTATCTTCCACACCTGATCTCCGACAGAGGCATGCTGCATTTAGGGGGTTCTCAAAACAAAGGCAGCCGGATGATAAAGGGAGTGTGTTAAGAAACTCCCGTATGCCTTTATGGTTGCATGTCTGCTTCGGAACCTGCATGGCAAGATCATCTTCATGGGTATCTTGCAACAGTACAGACATCAACACTCCCCAGAATGCCCCAAATATAGTAGGGGCATATTGATTTTGGGCGCGCTGCTTACCATCAGGGGGCAGGGATTACTCCTGTACGGATCCTAAGGGGCGTGTGTGAAGCCTTCTTGGTTCCGCTCACCTGTTCAGATCTGAACGGCATCACTAGTCTCAGGCCCATACTCTCGAACCCTAATTACCACGAATCCCGATCTCCTCACAACCTCTTAGCCTCAGCAAACCTCTCCGAACCATGCGCAAGGTCTGCTGAAGCACCCTTGCAAGTGAGGCCAAGATGACCCATGACCTGACGAACACCAAGTCACTAGGTGCTTTCTCAAAACAAGTGCCCCCAAAGGGACCCAAGCAACGTAGAGGGACCTTAGGCACATTACGACAGATAAGGATGATAGGAGGACCATGTTGGAAAAGTCCATCTACATCGTGGCTAAGGGTTATTGAAAGAAACTCCCGCCACAGTATGAATGAGAAGGAAAATTGACAAAGGAATGATGACTTAGATGGAGGTGCCTGTAAGATGAACATCTCTTTTTGCACCTGTTCCTGTAGCAAGCTAGCTTCACCTCAGGCAATGCAACTCCAACCCACCCTTAGCGCCCGCACAACAACCCAATCCTCCGAATCTGCAGTGACTTTGCCAACATTGCGAAGACGGATGTTAAATCAAAGTGCAATTCTTCTGGGTCACTTTCGGTACTACGCAAATGGGCAGACATCCCGAAAACACATGCTGAGTTCCCTGCTCTTGCACTTGAGGCAGTAAATGGCGAGGAGTACTTCTGGGCCCCAGGCCTCAGGAAACTGGAGGATTGTAAGATCTCCATTCCTCTCAACTTGTGATAAATTCTCAACCACCTAAGGCACCTCAGCTTCTGGTTGACCAGTTTCAGAGATTCTCAGGACGATATCAGACGACCCAGTAGGGATTTTGTGTGTCCCTATGACTGAAAGATACGGACAGTAAGCTTTTGGGAAACTCCCAGTTCTGGATAGCGGCAAGACTTCAACAGTGCACGGGCACTCTGCTCGTTGAAAAAATGGAATGTTGCAACAAGCAAAAACCTTTGATCCTAAACCCTACACCTGCAACTTCCAGACCCATAACCCATGAGGCCTGAAACCATGACCTTTGTCAGCCGCGGCCGCCAATAAGAAGCAAAAAGAAAATGGCAGCGACTACACGCAATCTAGCCATTTCCACGACTAACTACTGGAAAGTGATATATAACCTACCTCTAAACGGTGGTGGCCTCCATCAGAGATGCAGAAGAACATGCAAACTGCAATGATCGTCTAAATTCCGAACCCTCACCCAGGACTCGCAGGAATCATGAAGAACTCTCCCCTTGCTAGGTAGGGACAATGTAAGAAGGCAGGCCACATTCACTTTACTCCTGCGTGATCGCCACTCGAACGTACGATACTTGTGATGTTCGTAAAAATCTATCGCTGTTAATAGTCTACACGGCCAAGTAGAGCTCACTTACATCGAAAAATCACAATCACCAGGTCTCTTGTGAATACAACAACCGGGGTCCGCCAAGGTCCAGGCACCTCGATCCACGAAGTCCCCGTTGAAAATGTATCTGAGGCTTGGGGCGCGGTAGGTTGGTTTCTAAGGTTGAAGATCTGGGTTTAGGATGGTTTAAATGCTCGTATTTGGCGCTCAAGCTCCACATCCCTAAGCCCTAAACCCAGATGGCGGTGGCATTCGGAACTTACGGTTCATGCTTAGATTTGGCGCTTCAGCGTTGAAACCGGGAACCTAGCTGTTTACTGGGATACTGTCTGCAACACATGAAATTACATGGGCTTGGCAGACACATCATTTGAGGTTCTCTTGAGGCTTTCGATGAAGGAACGCGGAGCGCATGAGGCCCAACCCCCGTTGCAACCTTGAGCCCCAAGCCATCTCTATCAGGGTAGTCTAAATTCTCTTGCCTCTGGGGGTGCCCATACGAGCCTAACGCAATATCATATGAAGGACACAGAAAACACAAAATGTTGATCAGCCACCCAAAGTGAAGCCCCTTGACGTGGCACAATACGGTTTCCCCCTACGTCTGTTATAGAAAAGAGCCCCATGACTTGACACAAGTAAGGTCTCTCCCTACATCTGTGATAGAAAAGGGCCACTTGTGACACAAGTAAGGTCTCCCCTGCATCTGTTATAGGTCCGATGTCTATGCGGTTCGCCCTCCACCAAAACCTTTTCAGGTCCAGATCCCAAGCCCTGGGCGCTGTGCACAGCATTGACCACCCCAACCTCACACCCACAAAACCATCATTTACTATGCTTCTTACAATTATTGCAATTATTGCAATTAACTAATACTACGAATTACTATTATTGCTAGTACTACTATGGCTACTGGCACTATGGTGTAGGGGAAGCTCCTTCCCCGTATCAACCCAAAAAGCGCTGGGGTCGAAGCTTTACACCACCAGGTCCTCCCTGAGGCTCTCCGTTCTCACGCAGGATGTGGATAAGATCCTTTGGGGGGTGCCAGGGCTGAGGGATTTCAGGGATTGGATGGTTGGGCTTGTGGGATCTAAGGCCGGTCGTCTAGGGCTTTGGCGCTTCGAAGGGTAGGGGCTAGGATCCTTGGGTTCGTGCGTGGGCTTCGTGCTCAGGACTGCAGTAGGATCAACGATCTCTGCCCGCACTACTTCCTGGTGCTCAAGTGGCGGCTCCAGAGACCCTTTGACTCTGAGTGTTCTTGTGCGCATTTGCCAAGATGAAGTAACATGTCTACCTAGATTACAAATGCTTATCGAAAAGACTCCCCGCCAACAAACGGAGTTTGACATCTCCCCATATGTATGCAGGCACTGCAGAGCAACATGCGAACTGTCCGCCATGCAGCATGCCAACCGCTCGGCCATAGCTCTCTCAGCATCGAGACGTCCCGCGTCAAGCTACCGGCTTGGGCGGGAGATACGGATGCTGCCTTTGACCTCTTCGGCCTCTGACTACGACAAAGGCACACAACAAGGGACTCAGCAGGCAGATCACGACTTGCATGTCCAGCCCCTAGCCACACCCACCATAACAAGTAGTCCACCGACCTCATCAACAACATCCTCAGACATCCTCATCATCGTCATGGTCATCATCTACATCATCCTCGTGATCATCCTCGCCCTCATCAACACCAATCTGGTAACGATCCGCAGTAATGGGCTGGGGCTTCTGCCACTGCTGCCTTGTGCAACAGTCACTCAACTGCAGCTGCTAGACCACTTGAATCTCAATCTCAAAATGGGGTCGGCCTTTTCAAATATCATTTTCCGTATTTGACATCTCCCCATATGTGTGCAGGCACTGCAGAGCAACATGGGAACTGTCCGCCATGCAGCATGCCAACCGCTCTGCCATAGCTCTCTCAGCATCGAGACGTCCCGCGTCAAGCTACCGGCTTGGGCGGGAGATACGGATGCTGCTTGTGACAAACATACACTCGCACATTGGTCTATGAAGCAGCCTCCTCGCAAGTGGACAGAATGAGGTGGCGAGGAAAGGAACCGTTACAAACCCTAAGAGGTTGAACCCATCAAATGAACTCGTTTTTGGATTGGAGCGTTGGATCGTGCCGGGAATACGTGCCGCAGCTTCCCAAAGGTGAGAGGCCTTGCCAAAGCAATCTGAAACTACCCTCAAACCCTCCCTACACTGAGCTGCCTGCGCGAAAATGTCGCATCTTGCGACATAAGCTTAAGTCTACGAGCCGCAACCCGGTGAGTGCACTTGCCCGCTCAGGTCGGCCTCTGCATATCTATGAAGCCCGGATATGAAACAATTTTCCAGTAACTCCCATAACATCTATCTCACTCGCAGGAGTGGTGATGGAAGGCTTTCAGAAGAGCACTAACCTCACAAATGCCCTCCTGCAATGGGCTTCCGATTCTACCAAAGGCCCGCGCAGAGAAGTGGCCGTGTATGTCTCCGACCACGACTATCCTGCTCAGGAGCAAACTTGCTGGCATGGCATAGCTGCTGACTCTTGCGTTTCACTTGTGCGCGTCCTTCCAGAGATTGATGTAATGAATATTGTGTCGGCATGACTCATCCCGCACGAGAATTCTGGCGTGCAAACATTGCAGGATAGTGTAGGAGCCCCAACTTCATGCATCATCATTGGAGGTGAGGAAGGGCTGGAAGGGGCTGAAACTCCTCCCTATGGCCTCACGAATGCCTCATCCAGGGCCCGTCTTATTTCGCCTTCTCTTACCCTCACGGCACACCTTCGACTGGAATTCATTCTAGAACCCCGCAACCTGCTCGCTTAAACTTACAATATTCAAACATTACAACCAAACCTCCTGGCTTGTTGGGTATCATTTTGCTTGCTTGGGTGTTGAAGTTCACCAGGCCAGGTGTTTCCGCCTCCTTGTGCAACATCTCACAACCACAAACCCGAGTTGAATTTGCCCACTACTTTGTCCGAAGGAGCATCCCACGCGGTAAACCTGCAATCTTCTTCCTTGTCGGCCATGGCATTTTTCACGGACATCAGCCGCACTAATGCAAAGGTGTTCCCTGTGGTGCCTCAGGAGTGATTCGAAAATGAAACCCGGCCGAAAACACATGTAATCGTTGATCAAGATGCGGAAGCGATTTGTTGGGCGTAAGGCGCTGATCAAGCGGATACTCAGCCACTCCATATCGAGAGATTGTACAGGAAGAGCTTTGATCAACCCATATAGCATCCCTCTACAGC